CGAGTTAATCTGAAGGTTAATTGACATTCACATTTTTCGAAAAGGTTGATATACTTTAGTTCTTTGGGGTTGGATTATCCGTTCGAGTGAGGAGTCCGACTCACTTACTCGCGGATTCGATCTTTCTTTTGGAGACTAGGTTGAGGCCTAACTTGAGAACTTGATGTCACTCTTTTCAAGTAGTGAGTCCGACTCACTTACACACTGAGCCGTGGTTCGACACCAGGCCAAATGCTCTATTCCACACTAGTTTCTTTTATGTGTAGGTACAAATGAATGAAGTGAGGGACTGATGGTCTTACCGTCTTCAAGGAAGCAAATGACGAACCTGACGAGTCTGAGCCTGACGAGAAGAACAGTTCTAGCCATTCTACTCGCTGATGGCGACCATTGCAGTAAAGGCTGAGGATCTCACCTCTTGCTTCATCTTGGGGCATCAGATGTACTCTTTTTCCCTTCAATAGGATTTTTTTCCATTGGGTTTTTTCCTAATAAAGGTTTTTAATGAGGCATCTCCCCAACATGAACAAAGGCGGGGGATCTTCTAGTCGTGGAGAAGAGCAACTGACTTGGACTACTCCCTCTTAGCCGAGTCTACTACTTGACTAAGGGAGTGGGGGACTCATAATGGAGTTATGGGACTAGGCTCAGAGCCTAATCAGCCCAAGCCCCGAACTTGGACCCGTGGATCCAAGTCCACAACCTGGAGCCTGTCAGCCAGCCCAGCAGGGAGCCTGCCAGTCCAGTCGACCTCCCAACCCGGAAGAATAACGGTCAATCAATTAATGCGCTATTAATTTTGTACTTAATTCCGTATTAATGTTGTAATTAATTAGTCATTATTATCGGTAACGGTTACGATTTCTATACACCTATAAAAGGCGGGTTGTAATTCAAATTAGAGGAAGCAAATTCTATAGGCTATTTCTGGCAACTAAACACTTTTTTTAGCTTCTTTCCTTATTTGCATTATTTTTCTGATTTCCTGCTTGAGTGTCGTACGTAACTTTCCTAAAAGCATACGAGTGTCCTATTCTGGACCAACATTTACCTTCTTTATAACTTCAAAATTATAGCAAGCGGCTTTAGAGATCTTTTCAGCTTTTATCACTTATTCTTGCATTCAGTTTTTGTTTTCCTTACAATTGTTTTGTTTGTTTTTTGTAGTGGTAAACTACTTTTTTCTCTCTTTCAGCAAAAAAAGTGTACTAAAACGTCATGATCGCACCCAACTTTACTAAAAGAAGTTGGCCGGGAGAGATGTGTTTGAAGCACTTGGATCGATCATTGCATGCAGAAGTTTGAAGTGGGAAAAAGGGATATAGGAAAGGTAAAGTCGATAGAGTGGAGGCACTATAAAGGGGAGTATCAATTCAAAGGGGTAATAATGGTGCCAGCAGAATCTGATTCATCGGCAACAAGCGAGGAGGAAATAAGAATCAGGATCTTTACTTAACTAGAAAGTTGAAAGGATCGTGTATGATATGTGTGTGCCGACGTGCACTGTGTTCTCGAATCCCAAATCATCTGCCACCTACGTGTGACGTGTCCATATAATTGTGGCATTCTGTTATCCTCCCTCCGTCCTGGAATTATCTTAATACTTTTCTTTTCGATTCGTCTCAAATTTATCTCATCTTTCCTTTTTTGGCAAAGAATTTGTGGTTCACAATCATTCTTACACATTCTTACACATTTCTCTTTCCTCTGCATAACTTTCCACCACACATTTCTCACTATCTTAAAACATGTCTCACTAAAAGTGGCATTCCATTTTAACAAAACTCAACCCTAATGTTTTTAATTCGTTGCTTTATTAATTTGTACGTTCTCTGTATTCTTTTGTTTATTACACTTTTCCCCTTTTTGAGAGGTAGTATTTTTTACTCCATCCGTCCCCCAATTAAGTTACCACTTTTCTTTTTGGACATTTCCTAAATTAAATTCACACTTCCTTACTTTCCTTATTTGGCAAATTATCTAAATCAAAACAGTGTCAAATAGTGAAAAACAATGCCAAACAGTGTCAAACAGTATTTGAACAGTGCAAAACAGTGCACTCCACAGTAAAGTTAAATTTATTTTCTTAATACGTGAGAAGTCACATCGGGAACTTAATTGGGGGAAGGATGGAGTATTTGTTATACTTTGTCTCTGATAAATTTTAGGTTTATTAGAAATATTCAATTAATTTTACTTTTTCTACTTTTCATATTATCTTTCACTTTTCCATATATATTGTTCATACTTTTTGTGTAGTATTCAGGTTTGATCGATCAGTTCCTAGACCTCAGGCATCATATGAAGGCTGAGCTTCGTCCCATGAAGGAGTCATTAATGCACACCGGACTTATATTTATGATTACATTTAATTCATAATACTTCGTATATTAGAATTCATATCTTAGTCTATTAAATTTTAATTATTAGCGTATTTATGCACGATTATTCTTTGCATTTATAGGTACAACCCCTCACTTATAAGAGGGGCGTCACACTCTCATTTGGAGGACAACTTTTCCAAGTAGAACTCTCTGACCATTCTCTTGTGTGTACATACTGCGAAATAATATACTACCTCCGTTCCTATTAAAACTTCCAAATAGGTTTGGCACAGAGTTTAAGATAGTGGGTATTGTGTGGTGGAGAGTTGTGCAGAAGAGAGAGAAATGTGTAAGAAATGTTGTGAACCACAAACTTTTTACTAAAAAGGGAAAGTGGAAGTTTTAATTGGAACGGATGAAAAAGGAAAGTTGGAAATTTATTTAGGAACGGAGGGAGTACTACGTATGAATTAAGAAAAAAACATTAGAGTATATCATATTCTCAACTTTGTATATGTTCACCAGGAAAAATGACTTGGACATCGAACTAATAAAGAAAAGTGACTTGGACATCGAACAAATAAATTATGCGCGACAAAATTTTATTTTGTTGCATTTGATTAAGCGTTTGGGAAACAAAGATTAAAGTATAAAATTTGGGGATAAGCTTACTTCATTGAACGAAAGTACGTTCTTCCTCCCCATTTACTATGTCATTCATATCCTCTAACTTCCTTGTCTATTAATGGGTATTGGGTAAATCAATCTATAAAAACGGTCACATATGTGGTTGAACTACACATGCTATTCTAGACGTTGATTGATGGAGTTTAATCCAATTACGAGAGCTAAATCTACTAAGATATCAAACTATGGCTGCGTAAGGCAGTATTAAATAATCTACCTTAAAAGAATAATTCAACTACATCATTCTGATTTGTCCATATGGACAAAGGTATGGTACTTTAAGGGTACCATAGAATCTACCTTATTATTATTCGGAAGAATGATTTCTCGATCCTTTCATAGGGTATTTAAAAGAAGTATTTATAGACTCTAGGAGTTAGTATCATAGGAGGAAACTACTACATTAAATGTTACGGAGTATTAATTATACATTAGTTCGAATAGAACTCGTGTAGCGTCTTGGCCATTGTGCAATGATTATCTCCTTCAAGTCTGTTTCCTGTCGAGTTCTGCCTGCTACCAAATAACTATACTCAAATAATAACCCACCACGTAAACCCTAGGAATATCTCAACCTCACTGGAACTCCGCCCAGGCTCGAGGTCTACTGTCCAGTCCAGCCTGACTGTGGGTTCCTATCGTGGGCCTGATCCCTAATCGGGCCTAGCGGTTTATTCAATATGAATCCCGTTCAGGGATTGATCCTGTTTATGGGCTAATCCTGTTAATCAGGCTAATCCCGTTAAGGGCTGGTCCCGTTCTGGACTACGTAATTGGGCCATGGTCAGGGTCCATGGTACCATCATTGATGAAATGTTGTTTTTATTTGATAATAGTTTTCAGAAAGTATAAGATTTTGCGCTATCATTTTTATACCTTGAAAATCATTTTGAGAACCAATCTTAGATATAGTATTGAGTTTAATCCAACACGAAATAGTAAATATAGATATAAATATGTATGAACTCTCTGTTTTTACGTGGAAGTCTGAAAGGGAGAAAACAAGATTTTTTAGGTTAATGTCCAAGCCATCACCATTATTACATAGCACAAAAGCTCCAATTAATGGAGTATTAGGCTATTCTAGAGAGAAGGACCATTAGAGAAGAAGGAAACAGATCACCTAAATGGAGGGAAACTTCCCCTATTTATAGGAGAATGAGAGGGGTGCAAGACCACCCTAACGGGCTAAACAGGCCGAAATGAGCCCGATAGGTTGAAATGGGCCTCAGTGACCGGGCTTCGTACTTGGATAATGTATTAGGTTCCTGAACAGTAGTAGACCGAGATAATATATCCCAACATATAGTATTTACAAATATCATTTTTAGTCTTTATTTTTATTCAATTTTAGTCGTATATTTATTATTATCTTTATAGATTACTGTATTTGTAGTTTTACATTGATACCTCCCGTACTATCTTTTGGCTTCATCTCTCACTCGACACAATCCACTTTTGAGGGAGTCAATGTTGGCTGGACCGAAAAATAATTATACTAAACTCAAACATTATCACAGTAAGTTAAATATGAAAAATGGAAAAATGTATATTAAGCTTCTACTCAAGTATAGCCCAACCTAGATTTGCAAAGTGGGCCTTTGTCCAGCCAATTCCATACTAGAAATCAATCATACTGTTTATATTATGGGATAATTCTAAACAACGCATAATAAATAAAGGGCTTAATTTGGATAACTGTTTTCTTAACCGGAGAGATGGTAGATTTATTTAAATAAATGAGGACCCACCAATGATTTGGTATGATGGGCATTGGATTCCGTGGGGGGGTGATGATTATGGAGCGTCGAAGATGGAATGACGGAGGGTGGAATTTTTCGTGCCGATAAGGTTTCAACAAACGGTTTTAAATTGCTTTTTAGTTTTCTGTTGCTGTCCTTAAGGTCAGCCGACCAGTGTTGATTACAGTAGTTAGCACATCGTTTTTTGTCTCCACTTTCCTTCCTTCAGCAGCTTCCTTTCCCATTATTTATGGAGAAGCTCCTCATTATTTGTCTACTTCATATTGTGTGCTGTCGCGCACCAATCAGTTTTAATTTAGGGGTTTCCCCTAAAAATTACTCTCTCCCTCCCAAAATGATCATTCTTTATTTCTTTTTTGAGATTTCCTAAAAAAATGATGGTCATGTTTCCCTTTTTTGAAAGAAAAATGTGTTCAATATCATTTCACTTTATTAAACTCAAATCTCAACCACAACTTTTACCTTTTCAACTACTTTATTAAAACTTGTGCTCAAAAGAAATGAGATCATCAGATTGGGACGGAGGGAGTACAAAACTAATACTAATTTTAAAAAATGTGACTAGTTTTAAATATTGACAAAAATGTGATTAACGAAGTCATATTTTTTGATCTCATATTGTCACTACAAGTTTTTTATGTCACTGTGAATTTTTCATGTAACTGAGAATGTGTCACTTTCAAATTTTTATGTCACTTCAGGATGTCACTGCTCGTGGAAAATGTCATTGTGGTTGACGGAAAATTTTCCTGGAATGTTTTCGGACACCCACCACCCCCAACTTGTCACTGCTGGTGCACCATTGCCTTTGATCTACATTTAACTCTACGCACAACCTCCCTAGCCCCTAACCCACTCCCTGCCGGTAGCCCTAAGCACTAGATATCCAGTCCCACTCCCCTGCTATACCCATGTCCTTCTCTCACACACCTCTCTGACATTGTGGACAACGAATCCAACATCAACGGTCCCAAATCAGAACTGTGGTCCAGGTTTGGCGGATATGGCACCGACGACACCAAATAGGAGTCATCGTCCATGGAGGACAGTGGATCTGGCACCAGCGGCCTTAAATCTGAATCGTCGTCCATCGATGATGGTGGATTCAGTCACAGTGGACCTCCATCGAGGACCACTGGTCCAGCAGAGGCACGGTTGCTGTGACAAAGAAGAAATAGAAGAGGAAAAAGAGTTGTGACGGCGGCAGGAGTGCAGCAAAGGCGGAGAATATGTCTGGTCTGCGTCGTCTCCTCTAATCCATTGCTATGTACAGTTGCTAGGGGAAGAAGACAGCGATGAGGCGATGGTTCGATGGAAACAAAAGTGGTTAAAACTTCACGCTAAGTTGACGACGAAGGATAGAAAGAGTTCGGTCATATTTTTGTCTAAGTTTTAAAATAAAGTAATAAGTAATTACCCTAAAAGGGAGTAACACATCGATAAAATTCCAAATAAGAGGTGATGTTGATTAATTCCCTAAATAGAAGCTATCCGTTATAAGAGGTGATGTTGATTAATTTTACCCCCTTTTATAAAATAATTTACATTATCTGCCAACTTACTTTTTCTTTGCCATATTTTTGTGCAACCCCACCTCTTTCACTTTATCTCCCTCTTCTTTTGCCTCATTCATTTTCAGATCTGATTTCTCTCACTTCTCCATCTCCGATGCGTCAGACTACAAAGACCCCAAGAGTGGATCTTTTCCTCCAATTTCGGCCACCGGCAGACGACGACGGCGGCGGCGATCCTCACAGGTAAGTTATAATCTCTTGCTCTTTGGTCTTCTTCTTCCTCTCCTCCTCCTTTTCTTCTAAATTCCCCTTCTTCTTTTCTCTTATGTTAATTCAATCGATAGTGGAGCTTTAAGGAGCTTTTTGTTTTCATAAAGAAATTGGTGGCTTGTTGTTTGATTAGGGCCAATTTTTTTTTTTGCTTTAATTATCCTCTTTCCTAGATGATCTGTATTTACATTTTTATTTATTGAGTTTTGGTTTTCTCTTTCAATTGAACGATTGACTTTTAATTTCTTTCTTGAGTTAGTTCGGTTGAGTAAAATTGTTTTCTTCTTTTAATTTCTTTTGTGAAAGATTGACATTTATTTTACATTATAGAATATAATTTTTTACATTTAGTTTCAGTCAATATTTTTGTAGAAATTATTTTCTGGTTTGAATCTGAAATTGTCATAATTGCGATTTTAAAGTGTTTTTATGGTATTAAGATCAAAATATTACTCCTTTGTAAATCAAAATTGCAATAATTGAAATTGCCATTATTGCCATATTTTTTAAATATAAAAAGATATTTTCGCATTTAGTGTCATTTGTATGGCACTATCTCCGGATGGAGATATATGACACTTGCTGATAAATATTTATACTGTCATTAATTGCCAAAATGACAATGGAACTTCTTCTCTTTTAATATGAATGCCATTAAGATGACATTCAAGGGATGAGATGTTATTCTAAAGCATTCTTAATTTCTAGATCTGAGATGATGGAGTCAAAAGAGGCTATGGGATGGAGATGGCGGTGGCGGAAATAGAGATGGCCGGTGGTGACCCTGGAAAGAGGCAGCGGCAGAGACGGTGGTGGCAGCGGCGTCCGGCGACTGCGGAGACTGGCGGCGTCCGGCGACTGCGGAGACCGGCGGCGTCCGGTGACAGTGGAGACCGGCGGCGTCCGGAGATAGCGGAGACCGGCGGCATCTGGCAATAGTGGAGACTGATGGTGTCCAGCGACGACAGAGATTGGCAGAGTCCGACGGCAGTTAGGAGCGGCTGGTACTGTCCTGGCAGGAAGGAAAAATATGTTGTTGACTTGTTGTGTAATACTCCGTACATTAATTAGTTTGTTATTCTATTTTATATTTTTACTAAATAAGTTGGAGCAATCATTAAAGGCATTTTTGTCTCTTACTATTAATTTCCTTATGACAAACTACACTTGAGATACGAGTTCTACTTTTGTATATTCATTATGTTTTACTCCTAAACAAGGAATTCTCTCTTTAAGATAATCATGTACTATGTATATGTCCACTTAAACATTACAGGTAATATTTTTGTCATTTATTTCAATTTAAGGTCATTCTAGACATAGTTATACATAACGTATACATAGACAATATTTGGACAAGTTAGTTGTGTACACAGATGAGTGTACAAAAAATACAAATTTTGTATATAATAAATAGAATTTTGTATTTAAATACAATTTGTATTTTAGAAAAGCTATGCTAATCATTAGTAAAATAAAGAAACGATGAAAAGCCTATCCCCATGGAATTTTTTTAGGCACGATCTCGTCCTCATGTTATGACACATGCATTTGTTCTTCTTAGATTTAACAGATGAATGTTAGTATTTTTTGTTGGCACACAATTTTCCGGAGTGTTGAACGGTGATTTGTAGCAAATCTCTATGTTGAACTGGAAGTCTCATGTGTCTTCTTGAGTAAGTGGAGATTGGAAGTCGTCCGTCGCTTCCCGTAGTGTGCCCTAGGAAATCGTCTAATAAGAAAGAGTCTTCTGATGGATCGAAGTTGTCAAAGATGTCTGAGTAAATCGGAATCTGTTTTTGCTTGGGTGGACCTCAGAGAAGCTATGTTGCTTCTTGTCACACATTGCAAAAATATCTAACTCAAAGATTGCTTTGGAAATAGATGTAAAATCCTTGGTGACTACCATGCTCCCGTGTATTGAAAGCGCTGAATCCTCCTGCACAGGTAGTCCCACAAAATTAGAGAAAATGGTCAAAACTCAGATAATTAATGTCATTAAAGTTACTATACATTTATATTCTCTTGATTTTTTTGCGATCACTCTTATTTATTTATTTATTGTATTTGTTTAATAATAATAATTTCAACATGGATTAGAATGAGATTCAAACATGTGACTTGCACATTGAAAAATTACATTTTTGTCATCACACCACAAAATGTTTATTAATCAATATAGGCATAATTAATAAATTTTATAAACCATAGGATTGGATAATTTTAGTTTGTCACGTTTTGTAGAAAATTTAAACATAAGAAAACAACATTTTTACCCTTAATCTATTCCCCCTATTTTTTTTTGCCAGATATACATAACCATAATATATATATTTCCAAAGAAAATAAAAACGATTTTGCATTATAACGTATTTAGTAGTCCTTAAACTAAGTACACATTGCAATGATACTCCGGATAGTATATAATAATGCATATGTTGTCAAAATCTCATGGGATCTACCTCCCAAGTGACTAGGTCAGACCCAACCCGGAAGTCAGCTGGGTCAACCGTGAGTCTACACTAGCACCATGATTAAAGATAATTAAGAAATTATTATAATATGCATAAATCATAGCAATGTATCAAATTATAGGATAAACTATCATTTATGATTAAATAAATAATTATAATACAAAACGTATTAGACGTTAAATTGAAGACACACATGGCACATGGGCATAACCCTTGGGTGTGAAACCTAAAAAAATTAAAATATTTGTCTAACAATTAAGCAATATACTTCGTATGTTGAATATTGCACGTATAGCTAGCCTTCCTTACACGACATAGCTAATTAAAAGATACTCCGTAAAAACAAAAACAATAATAACAATTATTATTAATGATGATAAAAATAATCAATCATGTGGTGTGGTATATTGATCATTGAATTATAAAAGAAAGTACAATAATGTGCAAGCAGACGTATAAATAGTTGATTGAATGTGCTTTTAATGCTTTCATCCGTCTTCAAATTGAATCACTCCAACTTTGGGTTGAAAGTGAGAGGTGCAACACACATTCGATGCGTATTGGGATCGGCTTTTGATGATTTTTCCTAGCTTTAAGGATTTTAAGTCTTAATTTTAGCTCAAGTTATATTTACCGTGCGTTGGTACGAGTTTGGTATCTTTTGAAGTCAAAATCAGGAAATTTGAGTCCGGCACTGGCGCGTGAAAAGCATTTGAGAAAAGTTGAGAAGCATTCGAGAAAGATTTGAGAGATTTGGAGGTCACCAGGAGATTCACGACGAAGAATCATTGGAGAAAGAGCCTTTGGAACGATTGCAGGGGCATTTGGAGCGAAGCAAAGAAGAGAAAAATGAGTTCTAAGGCATTTAATTTTTCCAATCAACCAGATCTCGCACGACTGCATTTATTTTATTTCTGTTTAATCGCTGAATATAGTTAATTCTTAATTCCCTTTTACCGTCCCTGTGGAGACTATACTCGTACTTTCACCACTATTCTACTAGCAATTTGAGTGCGAGAAAACTCACATCATCTATCAGTGGCAGGTCTAGTTTTCATATTTTGGGTGTTCAACATTACACATTTTCTTCTTACAATACTACTAAATGATCTATTACTTTAATTCATGCATATATATTCCTATTGATTTAATATTTTTGGGTGTTCACGTGAACACCTTTTCATAGAAGACCTCTGCCACTGTCATCTATCCACAAACAACTCTACAGAGATATCTGTGAACAGACAATTCTGTGTGCATGAGTGATGAGACACACAAATGTACGAAAAATGTACACAAAAAAGTGTATATGAAGCATTTTTCTGAAAGTGAAGCGGTTCTATATCTTCAAAACTGGAATTTTAATCCCGATCGAGGTCAGGTCTGATCCGCTTGTTACGAATTTTAGTCATACAATACTACTAAGCAAAGTGGCATATGATATTACCTGGCATTCAATCATTGATCATCGTATATGATATGACAATCTGGCATAGTGGCATATGATATTATCGCAATGGCAATTTCATGAATTTATACGATACTACTAAGCATTAAAATTAAAATATCATTACACTGATTTTTACACACTAGGCAAAGAATGAAGACTCTACTTTCGTTAGACTATTATTTAAAATTAAAATATCATTAAAATTAAAATATTATTTCTATGGGTAGTTTGCAATTCCTGGAATTAGGTTCTCAACTTGTTTGCTTGTCAGGTGATCAGATGACTTAATTATCTCAAATCATATCATATCCAATTAAACCAAATCTAAATTGAACCATACGTCCAAAAAAATCAGAAGTCAAACTGCATTAAAAGACTCGCTTAATACGTAGTAAGAAGTACGGAGTATACCCAGGGGCGGACCGTAGTAAAGATCCAGAGGGGTTACCGCCCCCCAACAAGAATTTTTTTTAGTGTATATATATGAAAAATAATTTTCTCCCTCCGAAAAAATATTTTGAACCCCCTAAAAAATATTTTCGCCCTCCCAAGATGACTTTCCTGGGTCCGTCCCTGAGTATACCATAAAAACTTTCAAATCAAATACTCCATCCGTCCCTGAAAATACTTCCAACTTTCCATTTTCGTTCGTCTAAAAAAGAACTTCCTTTTCACTTTTTGATAAAAAAATTGTAGTCCACAACAATTCTTACACATTTTTCTCTCCTCTGCACATTCTCCACCACATAAAACTCACTTTCTTAATCCGTGTGTCATTTGTACTACGGAAGTAAATTATGGAACGGAGGGAGTAATATATCGAACCACAACATAGTACTATCTACTCCCTTCTTTCCCTTTTTGGTAAAGAATTTGTGGTTCATAACATTTCTTACACATCTCTCTCCTCTGCACAACTCTCCATCACACAATACTCACTATCTTAAATTGTGTGTCAAATCTATTTTGAGGTTATAATAGGAACGGAGGTAGTATAATTTTTATTACGTACTATGTATTTGGGCAAATGATACCGTATGACCGGTATACGGTGAGCACCGTATACCGGTATACGGACTTTTTATTTTTTTTCCTTTTGTTTTAAAAAAATGGTAATAACTTTTTTATTTGTGATCTGATTTTTATAAAATTTATATCAACATTTTTTATTTTTTATGATCTTTCAAATGAGACCAATATTTCTTATGTAATTTTAAAAAATTATCGAACTATTATATTAATGAGTATTGGATTATAAAGAAAATCGAACTAAATTTAATACAGAAAAATAATTGTGTAAATCACAATTTATCTTAAAATTGTGTATATAAAAAATTTATTGTAATATATATTTATACATGTGAGTAACATATTTTTATGCGTAAAGTTACATATTTTTACACGTAAAGTTACATATATATACACACGAGTTGCATTTGGCTTGCCTGAACGCGAGTTACATATTTTTACACGTAAAGTTACATATTTTTACACGTAAAGATACATATTTATACACGTGAGTTACATATTTATACACACAAGTTGTATTTGACATGTTTGAACGCGAATTACATATTTTTACACGTAAAGTTACATATTTTTACACGTAGAGTTACATATTTATACACACGCGTTGAATTTGGTCTGACTGGACGTGAGTTACATATTTCTACACGTAAAATTACATATTTTACATAGGTTAATACAATAGTTCGATAATATGTTAAAATTACATAGGCAATATTGGTCTCATTTGAAAGATCATGAAAAATAAAAAATGTTGATATAAATTTTATAAAAATCGAATAAAAAATAAAAAAGTTATTACCATTTTTTTTTAAAAAGTAAAAAAATAATAAAACTGTATGCCGGTATATGACTAAAACAGTTTGAAAATTCCAAAATAGGATGTCAGGTTTTTATTTCCAAAATAGAACTAATTACTGCCATGTTTTGGCAATACCAGACTTCAAACATGTCATTATTTTCTAAACATGACAGTAATTAGTCCTATTTTGAGAATAAGAAATATGGAAGTCATATTTTGGAATTTTGAAACTGTTTTAATCTTATTTCAGGAACTTTTCCTTTATTATTTGAAATAACTTGATACATGTTTAAGTAACTTGTTTATACTTTATACAGTCCTCGCAGCTGCTGGCGGAAGTCACAATCTTCACCGGAAGGGGTTACCGATTCAATTGCAGAAGAGAAGCAGTTCACCGTACAGGAAACTAGGAAAGAAAGAGAAATAGAAAAAAAAGAAGAGAAAAATGGTAAAAAAAAACAATACTTGCCACGTGGCGGCCACATTCGCAGCCACATGTGCAAATAACTGGGAAACCAGTTGGTTGGTTACCTCCTCAATTGATTGTTTTTAAAAAATTTAAGGGTTCAATTGAGTTGAGTGCTTGTAATGTAGAAGTCCTAAAAACTATCATAGGGCTAAATAACCTCAAGAAGTGTGATGTACTAAAAACTAATCTATAAACACTCGAGTTTGGACGTTAACATGAGAATGGAACAATAGAAAAATAGTCTCATCTAACCAAATATATTTTTAATTGGACTGACATTTTCTGATCTAATCTGATTTTATTTTATTTGTTCAAGTCTGGTTTAATCAGTCCAGTAAAATTTGATCTATGTGTATTTTATTATAATCAAAGTCTAGTCTAGTCCAATCATATTTGATCTATTTATGTTTAGTCTGGTTTGAAATTGAAGCCAGCCTAAATAAAAACATTCTAATTTAGTAAATCAGATTTTCGGTTGTTTAAAGCAAGTCTTGCATAAATCCATGTTCAATGAAAAGTTGTTCAATATGTTTTTAGAACAAATCGACACCTCTATTAATTAAATAATCAAAGAGTCATTAGTCAAGAGAAATGTGTATTTATGATGTTTTTACTTGGACTTATTCCAGTCCCAGTTCGAACCCAAACAATAATATAGCTTACCAAACGTAAACAGATCAGACCAGATCAAACTTGACTAGACCTACACAAATCAGAACAGACCAGACCAAATTTTGAAAATTGTTAAATATGCATAGAACAAACGTCTACTAGACATGTTTAAATCATATCGAACTTAAACAAATCAGGTTAAACAAAAAACTCATGTTCAATTAAAAAATTCTTAAATCATTATCCTCAGCTCATTCGTACCTAGACCTGTCAATGGGTCGAGTCGGGGCCAAAATGTAGTGCGCTAGACCAGGATCCGCTAATTAAGTTAATAAAGAATCCGAGGCCAAAATGTAGTGCGCTAGACCAGGATCCGCTAATTAAGTTAATAAAGAATCCGAACCTGTATACCTGACATATCTGAAAATTTGGGCCTATACTCTGATCCAACGGGTCTCTAAATTGGATCGGGTAGACCCGCCAAATATGAGATGCACAACATTACAAACTTTATGAAAATAACAAGACGTGCATATGAAAGGTAAAACAAGTGTGCAAATTAGCTATACTCAATTGCCATTAACAATAAACAAAGCTTCAAAGTAAAACATATCTTCATTTGTCAAAAAAACAAAAATATAAGGTTCACATAAACAATAGATACTTTCATTCAAATGATCGGTTCTTGTAGAGACGTATAACTACACACTCATATCTTTTTGTTTCGCACAAAAAACTCGTAGGATAGACTAGAATTTAATTCACAAAATGGTCTCGTGGACTATTGAGAGTATATTAAAACGTATTATATATGCTATAATAATACTAATAGAAATAATGAATATTACACATTGCCTACTCAGCCCAATGCACATGTTATCAATATGTATAAAGGAGTATTATTTCTACGGTATCTCACTATCACGGGTGGAGACGGGTGGGTGGGGGTAGAGGGTCCCTCGGTCCCTCCAAGAAATAAATTATGATATATATATATATATATATATATATATATATATATATATATATATATATATATATATAGGGTGCGGTTCCGGTGAGAACACTACTTAATGTGAGAAATGAGAACGCTCCAAAGTGATGCACATTATGGTTCACGAAAATGCACATTTATAGTTAAAGTAATGCAAAGTAAGGTACAAAACCTGATATAGTAGGTCATCAACAGGTCAGGGTCCAACGAAAGAAGATGAGTGCAAATATGAGATTATTCTGGATTACGTAAATGTGGGATTATTATTAGAAGATCAGTGAAACGTGAGATTATTCTTGTCAATTTTTCCTTTATTTTATATGATGCACGATATTTAGATCCAACACTCCAAAATCGTTCTCATTTCTCTCCTAGATGATATTCTCATATGATCTCTCTCTCTCTCTCTCTCTCTCTCTCTCTATATATATATATATATATATATATATATATATATATATATATATATATATATATATATATATATGCAGTAAAAAATAAAGTGAACTTTTAAGGTTTGACCCCCACAACGTAAAGTTTTTAAGCTCCGCCCTCCTAACGTAAAGTTGTAAAGTGATTTGGAGAAAGTGATTAATAATAAAAGTTGTAGTGTTTGAAAAAAAAATGTTTGTAAAAAGTAAGAGTTGATAGTGTTTGGTAAAATAAATGTTTTCGTGTAGTAGAAAAGGTTAAAACGGTTTAACGTACACTTTCAATGCTTTCAATTCTTAGCTTTTGAATGTTTAATTTAAGTAGAATGTATCCATTCAAAACACTCATTTCAATTTTTTTAAACCGAAGGCTAGAAAATTTGCAAACTCCCGTTGACTTCTGTAGTACTAACTTTGTTCCTATTAAAACTTCCAAATAGGTTTGTCACACAATTTAAGATAGTGAGTATTGTGTGGTGAAGAGTTGTGCAGAAGAGAGATAAATGTTGTGAAGCATACATTCTTTAATAAAAAGGAAAAATGGAAATTTTAATTGAAAGAGACGAAAAAGGAAAGTTAGAAGTTTATTTAGAAAAAAAGCAAGTACTTTCTATTTGTAAAGATCTAAGTCAAAGTTTGTGGTTTAGATTGAAGTTCTGCTAACACAGAGATGCTGACAATCTAGGCTATGGAGATTGGAGATGCTTGATGCCCATTGTAAATTGTCCAGCTAGGTGATTACAGACTCGTTTGGCCGGACTCCTTGCCTGGAAATTCGTTGGAACTAATTGAAGAACTGAATAAGTGGCCGGTAAGCAACCATTGCCACTCTCTGGTGAACTGAACAATGGAGAGTGTGCTGCGAAACACACTGTGTCTACTCATCCTGCTCTTCCTCTCATGGCAGACATCTTACTCTCTTCCACGATCTTCTATGGTCGCCCCTAGCTTTCACAACAGATTCCTGCGCATTCCCTCCAAGACCATCGCTGCCCCGAAGTATCAGTACCAAATCCGCTACTTCCAGCAGCGGCTCGACCACTTCAGCTTCGCCGATCTCCCCTCGTTTCGTCAGCGTTACCTCATCAATACCGATCACTGGTCTGGTCCCTCTCGCCTTGGCCCCATCTTCTTCTACTGCGGCAACGAAGGAGACATCGAATGGTTTGCCGCCAACACAGGTTTCGTCTGGGAGAATGCACCTCGCTTCGGCGCTATGGTTATCTTCCCCGAAGTAATTTTCATATTAATCTCATTCCCATACAGTTGCCAGTGTATAGTATTTAATTACTTCGTTCAACATATGAGCGGAAGTTAGTAGAATTTTCATTAGGGTTTTAATATTGAAACTGGCAGCATCGCTACTACGGTGAGTCAATGCCTTTTGGAAGTAGGGAAATGGCCTACAAGAACGCGACCACATTGGCATATTTAACATCAGAGCAGGCATTAGCAGATTTTGCAGTGCTAATCACTGAACTCAAAAAGAACACATCTGCTCAATCATGCCCTGTCATTTTATTTGGAGGATCTTATGGTGGAAGTAAGACCAATTCTTTCCCTCTCTTTATTTTTCATCTTTTTGCTTGCTTGAGATTATATGCCTTATCTTGTGTATGACTGCAGTGCTTGCAGCATGGATGAGGCTTAAATATCCTCACATTTCCATAGGCGCACTTGCTGCTTCTGCCCCAATCCTCCAGTTTGAGAATATTGTTCCGCTCGATACATTTTACAACATCGTCTCCAATGATTTTAGAGTCTGTCGATCCACTACTTTTTGTTTCTTTTTTGTCACGCTTAGATGCGATTAAATATTTGTTCAAATCATAGTTCTACTCGGTTGGCAGCGTGAGAGTGTTAGCTGCTTCAACACTATCAGAGAGTCATGGGATGTAATAAAGTCTGTAGGAATGACAAAGAGCGGACTTTCACTGCTCACCAAGACTTTCCATCTTTGTGGGTTAGTATAAATAAATAACACCAGCTGTTTCTTTCTATATAAACTTTTTAGTTCGACACTTGTTTGAGACTTTTTGTTCTCTCTTTTGATGTGCAATTTCTATAATGGAAGAGAACTTAAGAGTGCTGAAGACCTTTCTGACTGGCTGGATTCTGCATACAGTTATTTGGCAATGGCTGATTACCCATATCCTGCAGATTTTGTAATGCCCTTACCTGGCAATCCAATAAAAGAGGTTTATTCTGCATATCTAACAATTTTTCATCCTGCAAATATTTTACAACTGCATCTTCATTTGTCATGATTTCATTTTATCAGGTCTGTAAGAAAATTGACAGGTTACCCAATGGCACAGATATTCTGCAGCGAATATTTGAAGGAGTCAGTGTCTATTATAACCACACCGGAAAGGATACATGTTTCAATATTGATGATGATCCTCACGGTATGAGTGGCTGGGACTGGCAGGTGCACTGATGCTACACTATAAATATTACTCTGTATTTGTTTATTTTAAATGCATCTTGTTCTAAAAAGAGTTTTCTGATCAGAAGAATTTACAATTTTGCCTAAAAACAATGTTTATTGTTGTTTATATTTTATATATGTACATACAGGCATGCACTGAGATGATTATGCCAATGTCGAGTAATAGAAACACAAGTATGTTTCCAGCATTCGAGTATGATTACGCCTCTGATGCAGAGTATTGCTATAGGAGTTACCATGTAATTCCAAGGCCTACATGGATAACAACTGAATTTGGTGGACATGTATGTATGCCTCTCTAGTTAACAACTCTAGACTTAAATAGAAAGTATTACCTCCTTCCCATTAGACACTTCCAACTTTGTGTGGATGTGAAATAAGAAAAGTAGAAAATGTTTGGTTGAGATTTGTACAGAGGAAAGTTGACAAAGTTAAGTGAGACGTTTAAGTTCATTGACATTCTTGTGATCTTGGGACATATCTTTCCATTATTGTAAAATTGGCTCCGGAATTCTTATAACAACTAAGATCTGTTTATCTGGATTCTGGACAGGTCCTTAGTGTCTCCCATTAAAGTTACTATTCACACAGTTTAATATTATGGTTTACATGGGGTATTCTCCGTATATAAACCTTAGTACTACTATAGGGTGGGTCTTCTTGGAGGGAATAATTGTATCTCAATTATTAAAACCAAAAGTCTAAATTTGCAAAAATTGAAAGATATATCCCTGATTACGCATTGCCAAACACCTTGTGGACTAAAAGTATGACTATCCCTATTCTTAATTATTCCGTGACTTTGATTTTGAAATTGCTACTGGTCTTTTCGAATTGTGTGGGTAACTTGGATTATTGACAGTGTGAACTATCTGGTCTTTCTTTATCATTAAAACATGGTTGATTTTTCTTGTTTGAAGGACATAAAAACGGTTCTTGGGACGTTTGGGAGTAACATCATCTTTTCAAATGGTCTCTTAGATCCATGGAGTGGTGGCAGGTAAATTTTCAGCGTGTTAAATTACAGTTTAGGGTTTGTCAAGTGTAGCTGGTAAGTTTTTATGGGAAATGAATCATGTTTTGCAGCGTCCTAGAGAACATATCAGAAACTATTGTTGCTCTTGTTACTGAAAAAGGTAACTCCATTTCATTTCTCTTTGCTACATTGATCACATTAGAGAATTTGGAGATGATATTTGGTTTAAGTTTAAACCGCTGATTGACATCTTTCGTAATCATTTTTGGACAATATTGCTATGGATTGATGAACCCCGACCCATTTCGTCTTAGGTGCCCATCACTTAGATTTGCGTGCAACAACGGCTGAGGATCCGGGTTGGCTGGTGGAGCAAAGAGCCTCTGAAGTAAAACTTATAGAGGGCTGGTTGGACAGCTACTTAAAGTCAAAGGAAATTGTTCATTTAAAAAATGCGATCTTGTACAGTGAAACTATCTACTAGTTGTACAGTGAAGTAGTTGCTCTCTTTCCCGGTTAAAAGCGAATCAAAACATGTTTAAAGCATGATCAATAAAACCCACCTCAATTACATGACAATCCATTTGAAAAATTGAAACCAAAATCTGGGTGATTGACAATCAGTCCTATTAATAGCTACAATTTTAATGAGCATTATTTATCATCATCATTACCTGCAAAGGCTCCCACCTATGGTGGGGTTATGAGCATTATTTATAGTTGAACAAAAATGAAAATCCTTAAAGGCTCAATATGTGTGAAAGCGAGTGATTTATTTAGTATAGATGGGACGAACAACAATTTTGCATGGGTTTCAGTGTTTCACCGTTTCACTTTTGGATGATACTTGACCGGCATGATGATTAATCAAGTTTGAACGGTATGATGATTAATCAAGTAAGAATTGAATAATTGAGGTTTGTGCAAAGCAAATAGAACAAACTAGAATCACAAATTCTTTACTTAAAAAGAGAAAATAGCAAAGTTTGTAGGATAATAAAAAAGAAAAATTGACAAAATTTTAAAGGACGGAGGGAGTATATAATTAGCGACAGTTCACTAACATGGAAGAGCTGGCAATGTGTCTTAGGGTTTGAGGTACTGTTCTCCATCTTTTTGATCGGCGAACTTGAGTCAGCATGATAGCGAGCGGTACATACAAGGAGCAGCGTGAGTTGGATGCTTTAGAGTAGACTCGTGATCATTTGACATTGAATAAAGAAGATGAAGTGTTAATGGTGGAGCCCACTTAACCAATAATAAATTAAAGCGGATGGTTTTATTGTTGGTCGACACATTTAAATTGGAAAGATATGTACGTTTCTCTTTTTTTCGGGATACCATGGCAGTTGTCTAGAAACCCCTTAAAGATGTTACCTATAATTTCAGATTCTGGCGTTTTCGTGTTCCAAATTTATCATGAAGTTGATATGAATAGAGTTCTCAAGGAGGGTCGGTGACTATTTCATAAAAATGTAATAGTTTTGAGCAAACTTGAGGAAGAAGATTTACCTATATAAGTCACTAAACAAGGCAGAGTTTTGGACACACATCCAAGATTTACCAGTAGGATTTTTCACATTATATATTCTCAAAAGAATTGGGAATTTAATTGGTACTTTTGTCAAAACTGATGAGCATAATTTTTGTGCTACTTAGAATCCATTTTTGCGCATTAGGGTTGTTTTGGATTTGGATTGGGGGGGGGGGGGGGGGGGGGCAGTTCTTGGATTACCTTCTATTATGAGAAATTACCTAACTTCTACTTTCGGTACATGTACTATTATTGGGCATGCAATTTTTTGTCCCAATAAACTAGAGGGTAATCTCGAGAGCAATGTTAGATCATTTGGTGCATGGATTAGGGCAATGAGAGGAAAAATGCAAGTGGAAGGAAATAGATGACTAGTTCATTAATCAAAAGGTTCTGATTTTGTTGGTTAAATAACATTGTGTTAAATAATCATCTTTAACAACTTCTGACACGCGGTGGCACGCAAAACCTAAAATGAAAAAATGTCAAGTTGGCCAAAATGTCAAATATGTGCCACATCCACAATTAATGTGTAGACCCCTTTTATGCTAACACCGCAATATAACATATCTCAATTTGTCTGAAAACAAATCACATGCCTCTAATCTTAATGTATCCAACTACATGATACTTATATGAAATTTTCCCTATATTGTACGAAGTATGATATAACACCATATTTATTCATTCAATCATTCCATATTATTAGATAAAAGAAGACGCTTGTTCACCATGGACCATAATTGAATGTATGGTTTGCGAGACACTACAATGTTTGTCAATGGTGCCAACGGTTTTGTCAAAGTTACTGTTACACACTAGAAGCAACAAAGACACCCGTGAATTTATGTCACTGCTCGATATGTCATAACATGAGAAGGGAAGATGGTATAAATATAGTTCCCCAACATCTATTTGAGAAGAGTTTTGGAGAAAATTATACTACGTACAACATGAACATTATTACATGGTGATAATCGTGTTAATGTTGAAGACCATTTTTTCTAGAGCGAATTCTAGCACTTCAAAGTGTACAGCAATTCATATTGCTACTATTTCAAACTTTAATGATGACAGTGATGCGAATAATGATCAGAAAAGCGATGAATTGATGATCTCTTGAATGGAGTTAATGTTGATTTTGATCATTATCCATAAATCTTACGAAAATCTGATTGAGGCCGCCAATATACCATTGCACTCTGATTATGACTTCTCCAAATTGTCTGGTGTTCTAGAATTACTAGTAGAACACCCGTGCGGTGCACGGTTGATAAAATTTACTGGTGTAATTACTTTTAGTTAAATTTGGAATAAAACATCAAAATGTAATTTTAGTTGAATCGTTTAGAATTACAATCCGTACAATAATAAATTTTGGCATCAAATGAAATATATTCAATACGAAGTACTAATGATTGCATAGTAGTACACAAATTTTTATAGTCCCAAAAATAGTAAGTAGCATGTGGTAATTTGAAAACACATTAGATTATGCGCTAAATGTTATGAAACACTTCTTTATACACAATATTCTCGATTTCACTTTTAGTTCCTCTGTCATCGTTTGTAATGTGATTTGTAACGTTCAGCGACTAATTACACGACACAACCACATGAAGTTGACATTGACTACAAACATGTTTTTTCAACAACAAACCAACACGCGAGACTGATTGTCTTTGATTTTTATTTACAGTCATGACGTAATAAGTCATGTTTGAGTATTATTGCATCCATAATGAATGACAAAATTAAAATTCTTCCTTCTAGTAACATGATTTGCTAGTAATTCATATGCGCGATGCATAATTAATTTTGGCAAAGAACTTTTCAATTTTCAAAACTATGTTTATAACGGTTGAAGGCAAATTATTTATAATGACTAAGTGATATCTCAACAACATTTGACCTTTAGTCCAAATGAAAAATACCTAATACGGAGTAGGGTTTAGGCCATTCTTGAAATTTCCTCTCAGCCGCCCTCTTACCTCGATACATCATTATTAGCTTTCCTACATGCGCCAGCTTCTGTTGGCATCTACAAACAAATACATGCAACAATAAACACGTGGAACAAGCATAAATTCCAGTCAAGAGCCAGAAAGTGTATCTTCATTGGATACCTTCCGCATACCAAAGGATATAAACTTTATGGTCTTGACACTTGTCAAGTTATCAAATCCAGAGATGTCATTTTTCATGAGCCTGTCTTTCCTTTTCACTCCCAAATACACTCTAGTCATGATGATACAACTTTACCCATTCCTATTTCAGTTCATCATGACTCAGAACAAGCATCATCTTCCACAGATTCTCAAATTCCTTCTCTTACAAATCCTTATACATCTTCTTCATTGAATTCTCATATACAACCCCCCACAAATCCTCTCACACATCCAATTCCTTATATACATACACCTCAGAATCAATCTCTTTCAATCAGACCTCCTAGAAGTAGAAAACTACTTCTCATCTCAAGGACTATGTATGTACAGTCACTCGAGATACACCCTCAGCAGTGCAGTCTTCAGCTTCCAAAGTCAAAACTAGTAAGTCTCTCCATCCTCTCCACAATTATATCACTTTTGATAATTTTTCTCCTTCATACAAAGCTTTTTCTGCTGCTATTTCCCTCATCACTAAAGCTAGTTCCTATAAAGAAGCTTCTTCTATTCCAAAATGAAAACAAGCTATGCAGAATGAGATTACTGCTCTTGAGTCAAAAGGTACTTGGTTTATCACTAATCTACCCGCAGGAAAGACTCTTATCAAATGCAAATGGGTATACAAGGTTAAATATCATGCTAATGGTATAGTAGAAAGGTACAAAGCACACCTTGTTGCAAAGGGATTTACCCAAATTGAAGGTTTGGATTTTTTAGACACTTTCTCTCCAATTGCAAAGCTCACTATAGTTAGAGTACTTCTTGCTCTAGTTGCATCTCAAGGCTTGTTCTTAGAACAATTAGATGTTAATAATTCCTTTCTTCATGATGATTCACATGAAGAGGTCTACATGACAATTCCTCAAGGCTTTGAACAACAAAACAAAAATAAAGTCTTCTGTTTACTTAAAAGCTTATATGGACTCAAACAAGCCAGTAGACAATGGTTTTCTAAGTTATCTACTGCTTTGAAGATCAATGGATTTGTCCAGTCTCATGTAGACTATTCTCTATTCACATTACATAAGAACAACTTCACACTCATACTTTTGGTTTATGTTGATGATATCCTAATGGCTTGTTCTGATTTGCAACAAATTGTTCATATCAAAAGTTTCTTGGATGATAATTTCAAAGTCAAAGATCTAGGACCTGTTAAGTTCTTTTGGGACTAGAGGTAGATCGTTCCTATGCAGGTTTTTACTTATGTCAACGCAAATATACCACATACCTATTGCAAGACTTTGGATATCAAGATTGCAAACCTGTTTCATTTCCTATGGATAGCAAACTTCGTTTAAGCAATCATGATGAACACTACCTAACTGATCCTTCCATATAAAGATCTTTAGTTGGGAAACTTCTCTACTTAACAATCACCAGACCTGACATTAGTTCTGTTGTCAACACTTTAACACAATTCATGCAAAAGCCTAGTTATTCACATCTATCTGCAGCACACCGGGTCCTCAGATACCTTAAAGGTTCTATAGGACAAAGTCTATTCTATTCCTCAAAATCTGCTTTACAACTCAAGGGATTTTCAGACTCAGATTGGGCAAGTTGCATTGATACACGCAAGTCTATCACAGTCTGCTGCATGTTTATAGGAGACTCTCTTATCTTTTGGAAATCAAAGAAACAACAAACCATATCAAGAAGTTCAGCTGAAGCTGAATATCGTGCTTTAGCCACAACTGCAGCAGAAGTTCTTTGCTTACTACAACTTTTTAAAGAACTTAGACTCCCGGTAACTAAAGCTACCATCTTTTGTAATAGTAAATTAGCTTTAACACTTGCTGCTAATCCTGTTCATCTTGAAAGGACCAAACACGTGGAGATAGATTGTCGTTTTATACGAGAATGGATCCAAAATGGTATTATACACAATATATATGTCCCCGCTCAACATCAAATTGCTTACTTATTCACAGAGCCCCTGGGACGAGCTATGTTTCATTCTTT